AAGATCTTCAAAATCAAGAAGAAGAAGAAGATGAGATCTGTGTTTGTTTGTTTGATTACATGTAAGAGAAGAAAAAACAGAGATCTTTTGTAACATATTACTGATGATGATTCTGAAATAATCGAAATCTTGAATCATTTCTTCATTTTATCTTCGTTATTTGGCTTTGAATTCAGTTTAAAGATGGGTTTTTGGTTAAAAGATGAGATCTTGATTTGTTTTACAGTTCATGGATGTTTAAAGTTTTCACCTTTCTGGTTAATTTAAGCTTTTAAGAAGAAAGACTAGTGATGAAGCTGGAATTGAAGTTTGAACAAGTTTGGTTCTTTAATGGAGCAATGAGTGTGTGATTTGGTTTACATATCAGATGTAAGATTTTTAATAAATGCTAGATCTTATTTTCCCAAAGTTATCTCTCAAAATCCTAAAATTTGGCAAACATTGTTACTATTAGTAAACTTTTCCATAAACTAAAATTTGTGGTATTATTGGTTCTTTTCTTTTCAAAATTGTGAAGTTTTTATTGGAATTAATATTTGTTTTTCCCATCGGAGTTTAGGGTATTTTTTTAGCTTTTTTGTTAAAGGAGTTTATTTAGGTAATTGAGACAATTGATTTGGTTGAGTTTGGTGGGCAAATTATAATAAGATGATTTTTGATATTAAATTCGTTGGCAGGCAGATTCGTTTCGTGTGTTGACTGGTTAGATTAGATTTTGTGTTCGGCGTTACCCTCAATTTCGGGTATCTACTTTACTTTTTCTCTGCCACGATTCAGGCTCTATTAAAACGACCTTTGGGTTTTAAACATAAAAATGTGAAAAAGTTTGATAATAGTGATGTGAATATGTGATCAACATTTGTAGAATCTGAAAAATTAAAAACATAAAAAAAACCCAATAGAATAAGTAAACTGCACCGATTTGCAAAATTATATGGTTACTAAATATTAATGGTGGTCAAACTGAGTTTTAAATTGAATTTTTTAAGTTTTGGATTGGATTTGAGTTATTTAGTTTAAGAATTATTGTACAAAATTCAATCCAACTAAA